GAGGACAGGGACCTCAGTGAGGTACAATGCTGTAGAGTCCACCCTCCAAAGCATCCATTTTCTCCATGGGAAGTTATCTCTGTAGTCTGGAGATGAGCAGTAATTCCAGGCATCCCCAGGTCCCACCTGGAGGCTGGCATCGCTAGGCAGCACCCTCTGGGTGACTTGATACCACCTGATTTGCATGACTCAACTAGGCCCAGCTGCTTGCTACTGTTCATCAGCAGCCACCCTATGAAAGCCAGTGTGATGTAACAGTTAAGAGTTTCAGATTAGGGTCTGTGAGACCTAGGTTCAGATCCCCATCTTGCGGTGGAAGCTGACTGGGTGATTTTGGACCAGTCACATACTTTCAGCCTAGCTAACCTCACAAGGTTGTTGTGCAGATAAAGAGGAGAAGAGAATAATATAAGCTGCTTTGGTCCCCACTGTGGAGAAAGACTGTAATTTTCCTAGGTAGAGGCTGTAGGGGAGGGGTGTGGAGTAGGAAAGCTGAAGACAGAGAGGCAGATAAAAGCAGGCTGGCTGTTGGGTGGGAAGGAAATTGTGTTGCCAACTCCAGGTTGGGAAATTCCTGGACATTTGAGGGGTGGAGCCTGGGGAGGGTGGGATTTGAGGAGGGGAGGAACTACAGACCAGTATAATGCCATAGACTCCACCCTCCAAACCATACATGGAGGAGAGAAGGAAAGGGGGAGAAAGAGTAAGAGAGAGGTAGAGGGAGACAGGAGGAAGCAAAGGTGTGAGGAATAGGATAACCATCCCGCAAGTTTCTTGCGGGTCTCCACTTGTGTTTATCTAATTCCCTCTTGAAGCTGTCCATGCTTGTAGCCGCCGTCACCTCCTGTGGCAGTGAATTCCATGTGTTAATCACTCTCTGGGTAAAGAAGTACTTCCTTTTATCTGTTCTAATCCGACTGCTCAGCAATTTATGTACATCCTTCAATTAAGAGTGCCCCGCATCAGTTGAAATGATTAAGGCTGTGGCACTTCCCCATTACCTTCATCATTTATTAATGCTCGCAGACCAGTTGGTCATAAGCAAATAAGAGAATTATACATACGTACATACAAATCACATTCCTTATATATCCTTTTACGTAATTTGATTATTAATTAGTTTGTTTAGTAGTATGTGAGTTCCTTAAATTCTCTTCATGTCTCATGTCCGAACATTCCCAAAAGAATTTTAACTACTGAGACTGTAATGGCTGGATCAGAGCCACCAAGCAAGAATTGGAGCTTAGTTGCAACAGGCAAATCAACATCAGGGAGCAACAAATCAATATCCTGGGTTCTCAAGTGTTTATATTTTTGACAAGAAAAAAAAGACATGCTCTATAGTTTCAGTGGAACCAAAACCACAGCCACACAGATGCTGAGAATAGGGCTTTTTAGCATTAACGCCCACTTAGTACAGCGGTAGGTAACACATTGAACCTAGCTAGAGAAAAGGCTCTTCTATAGGCTCGGATGGTCAAAAAATCTATATACGGGCAAGAGGACTTTGAATATAGAAAGCCAAAGAAAGCAGGAGAGCATACACAGAGAATAGTACTGTTTAAATCCCACTTCCCCATTACCGTTGCACGCCACCAAGGAGGAAGGTCCAATCCTCCCACAATAAGAGTCAAATCTATGCTGCCTGCTTGCTTTATTCCTGGGCAAAGTGATGTTTCCCCCAATCTGACAACCAAGGCAGGAGACTAAGCCTGTTGCACCACAGCCCAGGCCTTACCAAGAGAAAGCTTGCTTTCCTAAAAAGTATAAGCTGGGTAGTTCTGAATAAAACTTTGTCCTCCAAGACATGCTTCTGGGTGGTGCTGCTTCTAAACCAGGGGTCCCCAACATCATGCCAATGGGCGCCATGGATACCTTTCACGGTGCCCACCAAGAGTTTCTAGAAGCTGGGCAGGGCCCAGGTAGTGATTTTGTCCAGCAAGACTCCTGATTGGCCGTGCAGACTTTTAAAAACGTTGCTTGGGCAGCAACTGCCACCACAGCACAAGAATCTTCATTGTGTGACTGAAGGTAAGCTGCAGCAGCCATTTCATGGCTGGCTCCACCTCCTGTGGCAGCCATCACGCAGCAGCCAGTTCTGTGGCTGTGCCTCTCCTAATGTGTCAGAATTCCAAAGTTGCCTGCAGGTTCAAAATGGCTGGGGACCCCTGTTCTAAACAGCTGCGACACTTCACACGTCCTCAGCAAGTTCAATTCCTAAAACTCATTTGTGTAATTACAGAACGAAATTACTTTAAGTCATATAAGGTGGTGAGGAGGAGGGAAAGTGTCAAGCAAAATCACTTTCTTAATGTGTTCCTTTTTCTTCTCTTTCTGAGAATAAAAATTCTCACAAGTTACAAAAACAACTAAATGGAGAAGCACGTGAGACGTCTGAAGAGTCTACAAAGTCATATTGTATACCTACACTTAGCTGTGAATCACTGGGGTCAGGGGCTGATTCATCTGGGGTGTTGAGCTCCACAGCAGACTGCAAAAAACTCTCCTCAGCCTGAGAACTGCCGCTTTCCTTCTGCAAGTCTCCTGCTCCTAGAAAAATTCAATAGAGAAAATGCAAAGAGCTGTTTACATGTCTTTTATTGCGGCTAAATAAATTTAATAGTATTGATACAGATTTTTCAGCACTTCAGGGTATCCAGGTCATGCCCACAACCACCTTACCTAGGTATCTGATAGATTCTTTCTCCAATATACTAGCGACAAGTGTTCTCTGATGCCAGTGGCCCACTCCTTCAACTTCCCACAGAAGATCATGATCCCCCGGGTACTTTTCAAAGTACTTCTGACAAGCTGGAGAAAACAGAACAGGTTTGGACTTCTACACGATGAACAGGTTTGGACTTCTACACGATTTTTACTGAAAAGGCTGCCTTTTTAAGTATTTAAATTAGGGGTGCCAAACCAGGCCTTTAGTCTGGCCTGGGAGTGGGCTCTCTTCTCTCCCCCCTCCCCTTGCCCATCCTCACTGTTCTGAGCTTGAGCTGCCAGGGAGTACAAAGAGCAGAGGGCGGGGCTGCCTCTGAGAGCAGGAAGCAGAGGGCGGGGCTGCCAAACTTCCCAGCCACTGCTCCCGGTCTCTGTAGTCTTCCTCACAGGTTGAAGCTGGGGGGGGGTCCTTCTGCTGCGATCCTTGTGCTTCTTTTTTTAATTTAAAACTTGCTTTGCAAAATCCCACTATTCCCCCATCTTTCCAATTTAGACAGGCACGTTTTAAGGGCAGGGGAGGGGGGGGGGAGATTTGGGACCGGCCAGGGCTAAAATATAGAGTTCTGCAAACTCAAGGGACTCCAGTTTTGCAGAGAAATATCAGTTTTAACACACCCTCCTAATGTGGAGCTCCAATGGAATAATAGCAGAACAAGTGCTGAAGAGGACATCCAAATTATTATCTCAAACCACCCTGTAAAACCACCCCAAGACCCTGGAGAGACACTGCCACCCTGAGTAGAGGGGGGTGGGGGCGGTAAACTTGCAATGCTCAGCCATTTCATGTTTGTTTCCTTGATCCTAGGCTCAGACCATTTATATTTGTGGTTTATTTCTTTAAGGGGGGGAGAGGTTTGGGACCAGCCAGGGTTAAAATATAGAGTTCTGCAAACTCAAGGGACTCCAGTTTTGTAGAAAAATATTAGTTTTAACACACCCTCCTAATGTGGAGCTCCAATGGAATAATAGCAGAACAAGTGCTGAAGAGGACATCCAAATTATTATCTCAAACCACCCTGTAAAACCACCCCAAGACCCTGGAGAGACACTGCCACCCTGAGTAGAGGGGGGTGGGGGCGGTAAACTTGCAATGCTCAGCCATTTCATGTTTGTTTCCTTGATCCTAGGCTCAGACCATTTATATTTTTATTTTATATTTTGGGGAGTAGGTCTGGGACTAACTACAATTAAACTAAAATAAAATAAAATCAACAAATTCAAGGAACTTCAGTTGTATTGGTTTTAACACCCACAGCCTTCTAATGGGCTCCAATGGAATAGCTGCTATAATATCTTTAACTGTGTTTGTCTGTGTCTTTTATAAAGTTTATATCTCTGCTACATGGCATTACATTTTATGACACACATGGTCCAGCCCGACAAAGTCCAATTTATGTCAAATCCAGCCCTCATTACAAATGAGTTTGACACCCCTGATTTAAATGGTAGAAGCAATTACATAATTAACATGATAATTACCCTTTGCAATAAAGTATCCAAAAGTTTACTCTAATATGTCAGCAATCACAATTAGTTTTGTAAGAGACCTTGGCAGCATTCTCTATTATACAAACATTTATTCACATATACATAAACACACACACATCCCTCACTGGCTTTGCCCAGGTGAACAGTTGAGAGAGAAACGTCTTTTGCAGCATACAATCAAAAACAAGAATGAAGTACTAAAAGTTTTTAACACTGGCTAGTGTTGTATCATCCATGCTAGGTCCCTAAGCCAAGGACTCTAGCATTGGAGAATGAAATATCCCCTGAAGTGCCCCCAGAAATTCAGTTCCTGGGGGAAAGTGCATTGATAGCAACAAAGTTATCTTAGATTCTTCCCCATGATAACAACTTTTTCTCTCTTTTCCTCCTTGTCAAGGGAGGAATCTGCCTTTTTTGTTAATTACATATATTAGACAGTTCAAGAGTCTAGAGAACTAGAAGTCAAAATTCTCTCAAAGAAAACTGAACTGATAGAGATCTGCTCTATTTTTACTTGCACAAAGCATGTGCAGGCATGCAGGCTTTACCTACACATACAATCCTCTAGAAAGTCTGCCATTTCAATAAAAAAGACAAGTTGTAAAATGTACACGTAATTGGCTCTTGCACCCTAAATATAGTTGAAAGGCTTACCAGCATGCATAAAAGATGTCATTGGGTACCGCAGGCCAAGCGTGTCTTCCGTAAAGGAATCCACAAAATCTTCCAATATGAGCAGTCCAAAATCTTTCCCTCTATGCTTCTTTCTCACAAACATTGTGTCCAGAACTGGAAGCTGGTAGCTCTGGGTAAGGAATGAACTACACATGCTCCCTGCAATCATAAGAGCAGCCTTGATTAACATTCCTAGAGAGAATAATTCCCTTAGGCCCCGGTCACACGAAAGGTTTTGGGCAGGGAGAGGGACGGATCGGGGGCGGAGCAAACGGGCGCGATCCCACCGCAACATCTGGGAAACGTTGCGCACCCGTCCCCGATCCGGCCCTTCCGGATGAAAAACCACATTAAAAATGAACCACCTACCGAGATGGTTCTTCTGGAAAGGCCGCATCAAGGCCGGCCGTGGGATCGTCGGCGCGTCCTTCTGCCGGCGCATCCCCGGGTCCTGGCCGAACTGCGCATGCTCAGACATGCGCAGTTCGGCAGCCTCCCGTCACAGTCTCCCCGGTCTGCAATTGCGTGGCGGCTCACGGGATGTGTATGATCCCGCCGCCGCGTGCCTATTTTGGTGCGGCTTTTAAAAGCCGCACTTTTGCCCGACTTTTTCCCCCCGTGTGGCAGGGACCTTAGTATAGCAAAACCCTTGTTAACTGGCATGTGATTATCCAGAATGCTCAGCTAGCATCACCCATTAGCCACCAGAGCTCAGCATATGCCCCACTCCTACGTCTCCAGCCAGCAAGCTTGACTGCCCACCTCTGGTGCCTCTCTCCCCTTCTGCCTGCCTGGAACTGCTTGTCTGCCTCCTGTAGACTGGCTCCATGGCTTGGGAGGACAGGGTCCTGCTCAGTGTGGGAGCTGTTGCCATATTGTTTCCAATGGGGTGGGGTTTGGTTGCTGAGGATTCCTCTGGGTAGCGGGTAGGACAAAGCAATAAGCCTGTATTTCCAGCACATCTGTTTAACTGGCAACCCCCCATTCCATGTAAGTGCTGGATAACAAAGCTTTTATTGTATATCTAAGATGGTACCCCCAGAAGGTTCTTTTTCTCCCACCCTCCACATGATTATATGGTCAACCCAGCTGTATATGTTTTTGGTGTGCATCTTTCTTCCTAAATCCTCTTTAGCCAGCTTCACTATTATCCAGACACATAACCTCTGTCTAACCTGAATCATCTCTTTCCATTACTCTCCAAATTCTGTATCCAACTGTTATTTAAAATACAGCTGTTCATTCCATCTTAACCATGGGATGCAAATTTAATTTTTAAAAACCAACCATTGTATTAGAAGTATTACTTTTTAAACATTAAGAAGCTCACACAACCTCTTTTATGAAGTGATTCCAGAGATTCCACAGGACTAGTGAATGCGATGGGCAAAAGGGCATCCTTCACTAGAGGACCTGGGAGCAGTGTTCCCTCTAAGCTGAGTTAGTGTGAGCTAGCTCACAGTTTTGTAGCCGCCAGCTCACAAATTTTTGTCTTAGCTCAGGAAGGATGGCTCCAGAGCAAACTAATTTATGCAATAGCCAAATCACTTGCTCACAACTTTAATGTCAGTAGCTCACAAAGTAGAATCTTTGCTCACAAGACTCCACAGCTTAGAGGAAGCATTGCCTGGGAGTCTATTTTTCAACCTACTAGAAGCTTCAGAGATATCTGGCCCCCGCCTCACTGCAGGCCACCTAGAACAACCAACATTTCTGCTGGGCACGTAAGTTCTCCGGACATGCAGGAATCACCTGCTAGCAAGGCAGCTGCAACAGTCGTAAACCCTGCACCCAGCCAACTTGGTCTTCTGCACCCTTGCATTCAGCATGAGAAGTTCTGCCCAGCAGCTCCTTCCAAGCATGTTTAAATGTTTACAGCAATATACCAGCAGAAAACTATATTTAGCATTTTAATATTTAATATTTTACATTCCTCCTTCCAAGAACCAACTGCTCTTACATAAATCCTCTAGTTTAGAAGTGACCAAACTTTGACAGCTCTATAACAGACAGAAAATTTGGGGTGCAATTTAAGAGTTGCAAATTTGACTTAAATTAATCCAAATCCACATGAGTCTTAGCCTTGCTGGTTCCAGTCTTTCATGATAGGGTAACCATTACATTTACCTGAGAATGTTATAAGAGTTACTTCCCTACTTATTAATAAGCATAATTTAACTTTCAAGTGGGTCAGATTGCTGGAAACTATTAACAGACTTGGAAGTTCTGAAATACAGCTATGTTCACAAGGTCAAAATTAGGGAGGGGGCAGAAGGAGAGGAAAGAGCCATCTGCTTATTGTTTCTTTTCCCCACCCCCACCTCTACCTCCAAAACCTAAGTTTGACCAGACTAAAGACCCATCTGGCTGAATATCAAGTTTCCAACCGTTGTCAAGGCTGTGTAACATGCTTGACAACCAATTTCCCTAGAAATTAAGCCACACTCCTAAGAAAGCAGCTACTATGATTCACTATATTTCTGAAGAGGCAGACTATATATTTCTTTGTGGAGCAAAATTTCCAGAGTATTTAAAATTAATCCTTGAAGATCGATTCCATTTTTAAACTATATATAAGGGTTTCTGTTGTCTGTTCACAACAGAAAAAAAGACTACATCAACCCAGACTGGTTCCTTCTCGCTCACATTAGATGTCTCTTGTAATTTTAAAGAAAGCCTTACCTGTAGGTTTAATGGAATAAAACCCAATTGCTTCTCCTTTCTTCCACAGAATCTTGGCATAATCATGGCTACCATGACAGAGGAATGGGAACTCGTTTTTCTCAATTTCTTGTTTGCGATAGATTATTCTATTTAATACATAAAGAACCACTCTCTCCCCAATGGTCTTCACCTATTTAACACAGAGAGAAAAGTATGACTGAAATAGTTATTAATAGGAGAATATTTCATTTCAGAAAATGACCTTATATTTAAGAAGTTGCTAAAATCCATAATCCTACTCCCAAGGCAATGGGGGTGACAACATACGGAGTACCTTCTTAAAAACATATACTATGGAAAGAGCATTTTATGAAAACCTGATTGGGTATATCTGCATTATGAAGCTGAAGTGGTTTAAATTATTACATTAATGTGGATGGAACAAGACTCGTGTAGATAGAACAAAACTGGAGTTATGTGGTCCCGACAACCCACTCCAGTCAACACTCTGGCTGTGGCATTCCATACCAAATCTAGCTTCCAGATAGTCTTCAAGGGAAGCCCCATAAACAGAGCATTGCAGTAATCTAACCCACAGTGGCAAGATCTTTCCTGTGTAGGGACGGATGCAGCTGGCTCCCCAGCTAAAGCTAGTGAAAGGCACCTCTGGCCATTTCTGCCACCTGTTTATCCAACAAGAGGCCCAGGTCCAGCAGCAAGCCCAAGAGAAATCCCATTTCCACACACACACACACCAGTAGCCCCTCCATTTTGTTAAGATTAACTTCCAGCTTGTTAGCCCTCATCCACTCAGAACTGCCTCCTGGCACATGTTCATGGTTTCCACAGCCACCCTGAGATCTGTATGAAGTGCGAAACAGAGCTGAGTGTCATCCACATATTGGTGGCAACTCAGTAAAAATCTCAGGATTATTTCAAATTCAAATACAAGGCACTTACAGTACAAACAGAAATCATAATCAGTTGTATAACCATTACATGAACACACACAATCCCAATTCCCAAGACAATTCTGAGGAAGTGTGATTGCACACGAAAGCTTACACCTTAAATAAAAATTTCTTGGTCTTAAAGGTGCCATTGGACTCAAACTTTGTTCTATTTAACCCTAATAGGGTTAATTGTGCAATATTTTCAGAGTTCCTGCCTGCAGTCAGAAAACTCTGCTTAATGTAACAGCATTACTATCTACCTGAACATAAGGACATAAGAGAAGTCAATGGTGGATCAGGCCAATGGCCCATCCAGTCCGTCACACAGTGGACAAAAATATCAGGTGCCATCAGGAGGTCCAGCAGTGGGGCCAGGACCCTAGAAGCCCTACCACTGTTGCCCCCCCCCAAAAGAACCAAGAATACAGATCATCACTTGCCCCAGACTGAGAGTTCCTATCTATACCTTGTGGCTAATAGCCACTGATGGACCTCTGCTCCATATGTTTATCCAATTCCCTCTTGAAGCTGTCCATGCTTGTAGCCGCCACCAGTGGCAGTGAATTCCATGTGTTAATCACTCTTTGGGTGAAGAAGTACTTCCTTTTATCTGTTCTAACTCGACCGCTCAGCAATTTCATGGAGTGCCCATGAGTTCTTGTATTGTGAGAAAGGGAGAAAGTACTTCTTTCTCAGCCTGCTCTATCCGACGCATAATCTTATGAACCTCGATCATGTCACCCCTCAGCCATCGTTTCTCCAAGCTTAAAGAGCCCCAAGCACTTTAACCTTTCTTCATAGGGAAAGTGTTCCAACCCTTTTATCATTCTAGTTGCTCTTTTCTGCACTTTTTCCAATGCTATAATATCCCTTTTGAGGTGTGGTGACCAGAATTGCACACAGTACTCCAAATGAGATCACACCATCGATTTATACAGGGACATTATGATACTAGCTTATTTGTTTTCCCTAATAATCACCAGCATAGCATTGGCCTTTTTTATTGCAGTCACACACTGTCTCAACATTTTCAGTGAGTTATCTACTATGACTCCAAGATCTCTCTCTTGGTCAGTCTCTGCCAGTTCGGACCCCATCAACGCGTATTTATAGTTAGAAATTTCGGCCCCAATGTGCATCACTTTCCACTCGGCCACACTGAACCCCGTTTGCCACACTGACGCCCACTTGCCCATCCTTGACAGATCCCTTTGGAGTGCCTCACAATCCTCCCTGATTTTCACCACCCTGAACAATTTCGTGTCATCCACACATTTAGCCATTTCACTGCTTACTCCAACTCCAAATCATTAATGAATAAGTTAAAAAGCATCGGACCGAGTACTGATCCCTGCTGTACCACACTGCTTACCACCCTCCACTGTGAAAATTCCCCATTAATACTCACTCTCTGTTTCCTATTAATTAGCCACTTTTTTATCCACAGAAGGACTTGTCCTTTTATCGCTATGACTATTGAGCTTACTCAGGAGCGTTTGATGAGGAACTTTATCAAAAGTTTCTGGAAGTCAAGGTAAACAACATCTATTGGGTCCCCCTTGTCCACATGTTTGTTCACTCCCTTAAAGAACACTAACAGGTTAG